ATATTTTAATTCTTTAAAATATCTAATACATTGAAAATTATTTAAAGCAAAAAATCAATTCATGTAAATTATCAACTTTGCAATTTTTAACTTCCAAGATAATTCTTAGATGTCAAAGTCTAGTCAATAATGGTATTTAATTGTTTACTCCTTCAGTAGTGAGACTAGCATTCGACTTTCTCCAAAAATTACCAAAAGACTCTTCTATTTCCTCTAGAGTTTTACCTTGTGTTTCAGGGAGCATAATATAATGAAAGATCCATGAGAAAATTCGCAATTCCTGCGAAGAGAAAGAAAACACCACCAATAGTGATGGCCTTCATAAGGGACAAAAAAGTCATAGCGATGACTCCGCTAGTAATCCTATTCACTACTGCTCCAATAGACACGCCTTGAGATCGAAGCCTCAACGGAAATATCTCGGAACAATAAACCCATGTAATTGGACCCAACCCAATTGAGAATGTTGCCGCATATGATAACACTGTTGTTATACTAAGCCATATAGCCCAATTCAGCGTGGTGCGTGAGTTTTCAATAATAGTAAGACTAACCGCCAATGTAAGAAGTGAGATTATTAACCCACCAACACTAGTTAACAACAACATGCGCCTCCCAACACGATCCAATAAAAAAGTGGCTACTAAAATGAATATTGTTTTCACGAATCCAACTGCTATAGTTGCAAGAAGTTTATTTGTGTCAGACTTGATCCCAGCCTTCTCAAAGATTTCAGGACTATACAAAACGACAGCGTCTATACCAGTGGCTTGTTGGAAGAACTGAATCCCAATGCAGGCAATGAAGATGTGACGAACCGCAGGTGTAGGATGAAGAAATATTTCTTTCCATACACCTTTTCCTTGAACTTTTGTGACTGGTACAATATCGTCATCGCAATCTGAGGGAATCCCTATTATCTCTTTAATATCAGTTAGCCTTTGTTGAGCCTCTTCTTTAGAATCTGAAATTTTTCGGAGAACTTTTTTGGCTTCCCCTAATCGACCCTTAGAAACAAGCCACCTAGGTGACTCTGGCATGGCTAATACGGCTACAGCTAAGAATATAGACGGAATGACGCCGATTCCAAGCATCACTCTCCAACCATAACGTAAAGGCAATTTCGAAAATCCAAAATTTGAGATGTATCCGATTAAAATTCCCGCATTCACAAATACCTGAAAATAAAATAATATTATGATAGATTTATATATATATATATATATATATATATATATATATATATATATATATATATATATATATATATATATATATATATATATATATATATATATATATATATATATATATATAATATATATATATATATATATATAATATATATATATATATATATATATATATATATTATATATATATATATATATATATATATATATATATATATATATATATATATATATATATATATATATATATATGAAAAGAAAACATAAAACAAAAACTTTAAATAGTTAAAATATACTAATACTAATGGTTTATAGGTCTCTTTTGAAAACAAAAAAAAATTATTGAAATTGATACTAACATTAAATACACCTCTTTAATATTGAGGGAAACCCTTTAATAATTTGGGATTTTTATTCTTTTTTGTTTAATATAGTCTCTTTATTTGGCCCACTAACAACACTCTCAAGCTAAATTAGAACCATGTACTAAAGATTTAATTTGATGTTTCCATGTGTCTTGCTTTGTGTGAATGGTTCAGATGTAATTTTGTGGGGAAATGGGAATTTTGTGATTGATCATGCATGCTATGGGGAAATTGTGGAAGATATATGGATTACTGAGGGGTGACCAGAAAATTGGATTTGCATCCAATGGAGGAGATAGATGGTGTACGGAATTAAAAGATTGGGAACAATGAAAAGTAGTTGTCCATTTTACAACATGCTCTGATCAGAGGAGGTGGATGAATTGTCCAGATTTTCTTGACATGAATTATGAGTGTTTAGATGTTCGAGAAAATCCCAACCAAATTATAATCACAACCAAACTATGGTGTTTGGGTTAGGCATTTTTCCAGTTCGAGCAAAAACCAAACTAATCTAATGAAATATGATGTTAAATGGTTTGGGAAACTGGTTTTTAATATTTTACTCGCAACCCCGTCTACCCAAACCAACCATAATTTATTTCCATAACTTATATTATCATTATCATGAAAACTAGCATCAATCATTCAACTTCAAGAAGAAAAAACAAGTGTTTTTTGTGTTGTTTACAACCTATATGGAGAAACAAAGAATTAGGGATTCATATTTAATAAAATATAATTTCAATGATCCCATTGTCTTTATAAGCTCTCATATTTTGACAAGTCACTAATTGGAGACTAAAAAGCCTTTGTGCTAGATATTTTACATTTTAGACGTGATCCTTCTTATTAGGGATTTTGACCACTATATCATCAATGCATGCCTCCAAATTTCTTCCAATCTGTGAAGAAACACCATATCCATTAACCTTTGATAAGTAGCCCCTGTGTTTTTTAGACCGAATGAATCACCTCAAAGTAATAATTATTTCTATTCTTCATGAATACGGTCTTGGGACATCCAACAAATTCATACGTATCTAGTTATAGATAGAATAGACGTCCATGAAACTGAGCAGGCGAAACCTAGATGTGTCGTTAATGAGCCTATCAATGAACAATAATGGATAAGGATCCTTTGGGCATGCCTTACTGAGATAAGTGAAATTCATGCACATGCGCCATTTCCCGGATGTTTTCTTAACCATGACAATGTTGGAAAACCAAGTCAGATATTTTATCTCTTGAATGAATCTGACCTTTAAGAGTTTTCCCACCTCTTTTGTTACTTGTTTCTTTTCTCTTCACTATCTTTTCGCTTTCTTTGTGACATCGGCTTCGAGGACGGTTTTAAATAAAGTTGATGACATACAATACCCGGGTCAATTTTAGGCATGTTAGAGGGCTTATAGGGGAAAAGGTCTACATTGTCCCTTCATATTTTTATGATTTCAACTTCTTTTTCCTAAGATAATCCTGAACCAATCCGTGTGATCTGAAAATCTTTGGAGCTGATCTGCACCATTTTAACTCTCTCATGGGTCTTAGGCTGTCTTCAGTCGGGTCCTCCAGAGGATTAAGGTCGACTAGGATCACCTTGAGGGACTTCTCATTTGTTGGAGAATCTTGTTGTACTTTCTTCTTTATTTTAGGATATCTTTATAACATTTCCTTGCCATCCCCTAATTACCCTTTATCACGCCCACACGCCCATCATCCAAGGGATATTTTATGGTGAGATAAATAGTCGATAGTGCTGCTCCGAGGGAATTGAATGCTGACCATCCAATAATAATGTTGTAAGGAGAAGATGCACTTATGATCAAATATCTTACCTTAACGCCCTTTACGCCATCTTCACTGCCAAAGATAGTCATGACAGGAAGATAACCCAGCACTTGAACCTATTCACCAGAACCAACCAGAGTGCCCTTTAAAAGTAATAACCCAGCCATATTCATATCCATGCCTTTAAATGCGTCCCAATATAAAATAACCATAGAATTTCCCAAATCTATTAGTACTCGCTTTACGCTCCAATCATGGACTTGCACTTTTATTACCATAGGGTATTTTCAAGAGCCAACACTCCTTCCACATCCCTTATGGAAAAACTGATAGTGGTTGGCTTGTCTTCTAATTCTAAAAGAAACTTCTGAGAAACGTGCATCACTGATCGGGCGTACCTCTTCCTGTCCGAGTTAGTTTCCCCTCCACTAGTGAAACCTCCCGAGATAATGTTGAGTGTGTGGCGTGTCACTCTGGTTTCTCGTACCTCCTCGGTTCTCTTACATTTTTTAGGAGATGGATTCTCCGAGTTGGGCTCTCTCCGAGGAGGGCTTCTCTTTCTTAGTGGCCCTCTAACATCCTTTACATAAGACAATAAAAGACCTCTTTGGATCAAAATTTCAATTTCTTTTTATAGCTAATGGAAATCTTCATTGTGATGGCCTTGAATCCGATGATAGTACCATGATGTGCTCTCATCTTTACCCAACACGACATTGACCCCCTTAGGGTGGCTTGGCATAGTAAGCAACTTGAGATGGTGCATTTCTCGCATTATGTCTCCTCGCTTCGTATTGAGTGGTATATAATTTTCAGTGTAGCTTTCATATGACCTTCAGGAAGGTCTCGTAACCGGTCTTCCTTTCACCCCGAGTTTGTAATAGTCTTTCCTAAAATTGATTTCGTCTTGTCTGGGCTACGTCCTTTCCTTGGCATCTCAGGATCTCTTCTCCATATTACTCTCTTCACCCTTGATGTAACATTATGCTCTGGTTATCATATCATCCATGTTGATTGTTGGATTTTATGCCAAAGACTCATTGAAGTAATTGGCCTTCAAGCCGTGCTGAAATGCTCCTATGAACATTCCTGATTCGGGTGAGAGAATTTAATAGTCTTCTTGTTGAATCGTTCCAAATATTCTCAGAGTGACTCAAAATGTCCTTGACGGACGTTGAATAAGCTCATTATTGACACCTTTCTATGCTTGCTAGCAAAGAAGTGTTGCACCATCTTCCTAGTCAGATCTTGGTAACTGATTGACTGAAAATCTAGGAAATCTCATATACCAACACAATGATATGTCTTTGAACGTTTCTGCCATGAGTTTGCATTTTATAGAATCAGAGCGCCGATGATTTCCATTTGATTGTTGATTGATATAATGTGCTCTTGATGATCACTCTTGCCATAAAAAGATGCAAATGGTGGTGGTTTGAAGTTTTCTAGAACTTGATCGCCTCATATGACTTTCGAAAGAGGCTAGGGATCCAGAAGCTCCTATTCACTTTCTCATTCTATTGGCTTTGAGTTTGCTAAAGTGTATGAACGCCCTCCTATAATGACTCATTCTGGTGCCGTAGAGGTTCTACGATGGTCAAATCATATGAACTACTTCAATTACTGCTATTTTTATAATGGAAGCTTTCCATCCTTTTTCCTTAATAATAAATAGTATATTTTTATTATTAAAATATACTATTTATTAACTATAATTATTAGAATAGTTAAATAAAATGAAAATGAATGAATAAAAATATAACCGCAGGAAGTATAATATTGATTGCTTTGTTATATAAAATCAGCAATCTGCAATCGTTACTTGGTGTATACATAGAATCCTCATATATCAAAATCCAATAACTTATATGACAGATGCTCACAAATTGGCTCATATATTCTTCCTAATTTCAAAGTTAACTTCAAATAATTCTTATCACAACGGTAAAGAATTGACGAAAACATAAATTAATGAGCATGAAAATTAGAACACTTACCTCAGGTAAAGAAGTGAGGAATCCTCGAGAGTAACTGGGTGACACTTCAGAGATATAAACAGAAGCAATGAAGAAGAAACCTACTGCAACACCAGCGAAGAAACGACCAAACATGAGAAATGCATAGTTTGGAGAAAGTCCCATAAGAATAGCTCCGGTGAAGGCAATTGCACCGGCGAGGACAATCGTGTAACGCCGACCAAACCAGTCAGAGAATCTCCCTGCAATATAAGAACCTATGGGAGCGTAAAGGTTTATGATGCCTAGGAGAATTTCAATCTGTACGTCAGTAACTTTAAGGTCTCTTTTGATATAGATAGCTGCTCCACTCATCACACCAATATCTGTAACAATAATAACATCATATATAGTTGATAATACAAATCATGATAACATATATTCATCTAGAAATAGAAGTGAGTTTATGGTATGATTGTATCTGTACTCACCATAGCCAAGTAATATAGGAGTGATAGAAGCCAAGATAGCATAAGCACAAGATAATTTGTTCCTTTTGAGTTTCTTTGGAGGATCAAAATCTTCAAGAGATTTTGGAGCTATTGTTGCTTCTCTCTCAGCCATCTTTGAGTTTGTTGGAGAGGATGATGATTGTGGTAAATTTTGTCAAGTGCTGAAATAGATAGGTGGCCAGTAGCCACCGGTCATTATCTGTTAGTGAATGAATTATTGGAGATTGTCAAGTACGTTCCTCTAGATCTCTACTCAACCTCACAAAATTAAGTATCACTTTTACACCATATAAAATACTACATCAACTACTGTCTTACTAGTAATCTTCATTCTTGACTAAAACAATCAATAATTTGTCCTTAGACTAAATTTTCCTTGTTATGGTGACAACAAGTCAGAAAAATAATAATTAATTAATTTTCATTTTCTAGTCGGCTATAACATCTTGTCCTTCCAAGTGCTAACAAGTGTCATAGAATAAATACTATATATTTGTTAAAGAATTAAAAAAACAACATAGAATAGGTTTACTTATAATTTCTTCACGAAATTTATCTTTTAATACTTTTTTATTATTTCTCTTACTTTTTTTAATTGAACATCAACAACATATCCAGTTTTAACTTATATATTTTACGTATATAACATCACAAAAGATTCTTATATGATATTTCACGTAACACATTATTCAAAAATAGACACGTTATTGAATTTAATTACAAAAGTATAAAAGAGAGTCAAAATTGTTTAAATAAATAAAAGACTAATTTAATAAATCAACTAAAATATGATACTAAAATGTAATTAAATATATAATTTGTTTAAATATAAAATATTTTATATTTTATAAGAAAGTGTAAATAAGATTCTTAGAAATACATAAATAAGAGATGAGTATATTCATATTTATTAAAATAATTATTTTTAGAAATAAAGATTCTAAGAAAAAAAGTAAGTTGCTATAACTTCTCATATTCATATGAAATTATTCTCATGTAAAAAAATGGGAATGTTGATTCTAATGAAATTTTATAAAAAAATTTAAAAATTAATGAAAATCATAATTTTCTTAAAAATATCAAAATGTTTGTCAAACACTATTTTTTAAAAAAATTAAAATAAATAGTTTATCTTTATTTCTCTGGACAATTAATTTCTAGAAATAAATTTTGATTTCGTGAAAAAAAAAAAAGTCCCCTAAAAAAAAAGAGGGTAAAAAATAAAACATATATAACTTATTATTGGCATGCCTTAAATTTCTCCTATCAATTTCAACAATCACGTTATTATTTTTCCAAATCTTTAATTATTTTATTCAATTTGTTTTTTTTTTTTAAATTATCCTACGAGGAGTTTAAAACCAATAGGGGGAGTGTATTGTCTTAAATAGACCATTAAAATCTGATGGCCCATTAAGACAATTTTGTTTGATCCGATTAAATAATAAGAAAGGGGGCTTTAAAGTCTAATAAGAGGGGTATGTTTTAATAAGAGGTTGTTGTATCATTTTAATCAGACTAGTCGATTAAGGTATTTTTGAGGCCCATTAACCCTTTGTGGAGTTGACCGAAATCAAACATCTGACTATTATTTAGTTTTAATATTAATAATAATTTCTATTATTATTATCAAATATTATTATTATTATTAAATATTACTTTCTAAATTTGTTGACTTAGACAACTTAGGGCAAGAGACCCTAATTTCAATCCAGCTCAGAAAACAAAGACCCAAGAAACGGATATTGTGCAAATCAGAATTGTATCTAATCAGCATAAACTAAAATCAAATTATATCTAATAATATCTAATCGTATCAATTACATACAAAGTTATCTAAAATAATACAAAATTAAATCCTACAGGATTGAATATTACAAACAGAATCGTCCAAATTACAAATTCAAATGTTTACAAACAAAATCAATTACAACACCTAAGGCTGAATCAAAGCTAAATCTCTAATTTCTAAACTAAAACATTGTAACGACAAATCAAACCTATTTTCTTAATCTGTCTAATTCCTAAAACTATATAAACTGTAATCCTAAAATTGAAAAGGGAAAAAAGAAAGATTGGAGGAGAAGAAATCAGGGAGGAAGAAGATTATAACAGAAAAGAAGTAATCTGCGAGCCAACCATCGTATTTGAGATCTGGGTTTCAATTTCTAAAACCCTAGATATGTGCTTCAAGCCACGCCTTCATCATCTTCGCAATTGCCACCGCTCTTCACACCTGTAATCAGAAAAGAGGAAGAAGATTATACTAAGGGAGAAAAAGTTAGAAGAAGAGTGGTTACGACAAGATTCACTGCATCGGACAGTAAGTCAAATACTTAGCTTAGAATTTTAAAATTGTTGTTGTAATGCTTGCGTAATTGGTGTTCGTTGATATGCGTTTCTTGATTTTTATGGAGTTTCTGGGTTTCTGGGGTTAGGGTTCTAACTTAGGGTTAGGGTTCCTAGATATTAAGGGTTAGGGATCATCGCATTTGAGTTTCTGTGTTTTGTCGGGGTTAGGGTTCATCTAGAACCCTAGGGTTAGGTTAGGATTTTTTTATCTTCATAGAGTTAGAATGAAAATTCATATGAATCTGGGTTTGAGGATGAGTATGGACGGTGGTGGTGTATGAATCTGGTGGCGCCTTGGAGCATCCACCGGCGGAAGCGATTTCCGGCCGGTGGCGCCCAAGGTTGAGGTGATTTTCAATCGTTGTATTTCTAGAGAGAAGGCAGAGCCTCTCTCTCTAGAAAATAACAAAGGGGTCGTTTGTTGTAGAGGGAAAGAAAAGAAAAAATGGGCTTTCAGCCTAGAGTTTTGTTTATATAACACCCTATGATTCCCTGTGTCCCTATTACCGTGCACCCCGCTTCTTGTCCCTTAGATCGTCATCAGACACCCCTGAAGCACGCGTCCACCATAACTCCACGATCCCTCCCACATTCTGTCCAATGGATCAGATATTTGTCTTGGGCCCAACCTATTACTAAGTGCACTCTTAATTTACTTCGCTAACAAAAAAACTCACCCTCTGTGCTATTGGGCCCAATTCAATATCTGAACTTGGGCCCTTGCTAATCCACCCCCAATTTTGCTACATAGAACAAATATACACCCCTTGTGATTTGAGTCTAAATCCAATATCTAGATTTAGGGCCCTGTTATATGCACCCCCATAAACTGCTAAGTCTTAATAAAACACACTCCCATGCATTTTTAATTAATTTTATTTTTTTATATTTCATCCATTAATTTTATTTTTATTATTATTAATATTTTAACTTTTAATATATTTATTATTTTATGAATTCTAAAATTGTTCATTTTCATTTTTAATTCAAAATTCCTTTTTTTTAAATACTAACTCATCTTTTAATTACATTAAAACTATTTTTCCTCATGCATCAAATTTTTTTTTATATTAATATATTTAAATAATATCTAACCAATCAAATTACTAACAATTTTTTACTAATTTAATAAACTCAAGATTTTATTTTCAAAAAGGATTATGGAGATATTTCTCGTTAACTGCAAACTTCATCTAACAACTCCGCGATTCACAAACCCAGGCTTGATTCAAGGAGAATTCGAAATATCTTCGTAATCCATAAAAAATACCAACCAACAACTGCGAACTACGAATTAGGACTCTGATTCCTCATAAGTGGATATGTAGGCATATAATTTAAAAATCGTGACGAGTTCCCCTAATTAAAATTAAATCTTATTTCCTGAATTATAATCTAAACCCTAGTATCCTTGTGAACAAGGTAGATGAGGAGTGTCTAATATTCTCCCTTTATCTAAAAACGAGTCTACAACTTAGAATCTCTGACCAAATTACAGTTATCCGTTATATTCCTTTCCTTAAGATAAAAATTAATGGTATTGACTCTCATTTTAAAAAACGGTTACAATAATTATTAAAAAATTTAACATAAGTATATTGGATTAAAAAAAACTATGATATGTTCCACGTTAAACTAATAATTAAAATTAAATAATTAAAATAAAATAATAAATATTATAAATATTATTAGATTATTAGAAGGTATAAAATAAACATATAATATATATTAATAGAAGAATAAAAAATAGGTCTCGTTAAAAAAAAGTTGAGTTTGAAATCAAAATGAGTTTATCGTGACAGTAGTTTGGTACTTGATAGCGAGAAAATGAGCAAAATAAAATAGTTCTATGGGTGGTAAGAGTTGAAAAATACTAAAATAATTTATTCATCTTAAGATTTGTATGTTGCAATCCCGAGGGTCACAATTAAGAGTTGTCTTAAAATCTTAATATATGACAAGCAAAATATACAGTATTCGACCACTACGAATGATATATAAAGAAGTCTTCCAAGCACTTTGTTAGTTGGTAATCTTTTTCACCTTATTCTTTGTGATACACATTAAATCCCGGTGTTTAATTTATGTGTTTAAATTCCACATATTTTCATTAGTTTTTAAAAAATGGTTAATATTGAATGTCTTATTTGATATATTTTCCCATGCAGGTGTGTGATGCGAGTCGTTGTTGTTTGTTGGTTCATTCATTTACAAGTTTAACTATGTAATTTATAATATTTCAAAGTTTTCATTTTGACTTATAATGATTAAAAATTTGGATATTATTTTTGCAAGTCATGTCAGTTTTGTTGTATAATTTAATATTACGTTCAAAATTGATTGTATTTTGATTGATTTTTATTAATTTAATTTTGACACAAGATAGAACTTTACAAATCAATATTAGATCATGTGATGTGAAAAACATACGAGGCCCGTGCGATAGCACGGGTTACCCACTAGTATCTTTAATTTTGCTTGCCGTAGACAAGTAAGGTTTAAATATGATTGATAAGTGAATAAGGGATACGCTCCGCTATATTTACAATTATACTCTTTAATCAGTGTTGATGTCCTTGACTAGTAATGTGTTAGATATTTTTAATGAAGAGAGAAAGAGAAAATAAAAAAATAAGGATTGCATTATTGAATTGAATTATTATAAACTGATTTATAAACCAGTCTATTTATATACAATTAACTTCTACACAAAATATGTTAACAAACCTTAATTGGGCTTGAGCTTAGATTACACAACTT